TATTATCTCTAAAATCTACAAGAGGTCTTAAGGGCGTCACCGCAGATAAAGATATTACGGTAGGTTTAGCAGGCGTTTACACACAAGAGCCTCTAAATTTTGACAAGTCCTTCAAAACCGTTTTGTCGTTTAAAGCTGGGAGATTTCTGACAAAACCACATGTTTAGTATAAACTGCATAATTAAGGTAATTTTCAAATAGTAAGATGATCGGTAATTTCTCTCAGAGCTTTTTGTACCTGACCGCTCTCGAAAAGGTTACTGAGAGCTAACTAATACCATTTTTCTGCCATCCCAATGGCCTCCTTAAACAAATTTTCCAATAGCCATATTTTATATCAGTAAAGTTACTAATCAGCAATCGCAAAGACAAAAAGGGGAAAACTTTTAGCTTCAGAAAGTTAGAAACTAAAACCCCCACACCAGGTTATAAACTTGAAAATTCAATAACCCAAATCCGAAACCCTTCCGCCAGAAGCGCGACGCAGCACAGCTGGAACGGAAGTGACGGCAGAAGGCTGGGCGGATGTATTGCAGTATTAGACTGGTTGGGAAGGGTTGAAAGGCCAATTCGCTCAAAGAATGGCATAATCTATGCGAGTGTCTGTGCCGCAGCGCCACTGAGCTCGAGAAAATTTATTATGCGCAATGCAATCATTTATCAGCGGCGCAGCATCTTTCATAATCAGGATACCAGAAATGAGGCCGCACAATATGCAAATGACTCACCAGCAGCACCACCACACATATGCACACACACACACACACGCGACATGTGGCATGCCTGTCCAAGAGCTGCATGCAACGCGGCACAAAAGTGGCAGCGGTAATTTTTGAATTTATCACCAAATTCACAAACTCCTTACTTTTTGGTAAACTTTGACAATGGCGCGCACTAGCATACATACATACATACATAGTTATAGATGTGTTTGCCACATGTGTAGACACTGTGAGGCTGATGTGTGGCAAGGGCATACACCTCCAAAAGCTGAGGTACGCCGGCGTTGCCACTTCCTTTTGTCTTTGCAATTGCTGCCACCGCCGCTGCCGCTGGCTTTAATACTTTCGTTCGGTGCTGGTGGTGTGTGTGTTTGTGTGTGTCGCTGCTGCCAACGGCGTCTCTTTATTGTCTTTGCTGTGTGTTGCAACACCAGACAAAAGGTCGACACATACCGACCGACCGACTTAATTAATTTATGCGCACACGGCAGACCCCCCGCCACCCGCCGCCCAATATGCTTTGAGCCAACACCAACTTCTCCGCCTGCTGCAAAGTGTCTGCCGTCTTCCCTCGCACTAGCGGCCGGACACTTTTTGAATAGCGCAGGCAATTGAATACATAACCAACCGAACGAAATATTCATGCCACAAACATGCCAAGTGCATGGGAATGAGCGTGCAGGAGCTGGGGCAGCAGTTGGAGTTTCTGTTCGCATTTGGAGTTGGGGGCCTTCATTCATTTCGAAAACGCGCCTAATTTTAAAATTAATGAGCAGCATTTTAATGGGCGATGCGACGAGATAACACACACATTCAATCGCTTAAGCACATATGTATGTATGTATGTATGTATATCGGTTTGAGAGTCAGTCGCATTGCCTGATTGCCTGGCAGTGAACCCTTCGGTATTGTCAAAGTAAATCACGTGTTTATTGGCACTTACGACACCAAAAGTAAACAAAGAATGGCAGGAAGACATGTGATGAGTGGGACCACGACGATCGGCTTCAAAGTGCACAGACGCACACACACACACACACACACACACAGATGTACTAAGTAGAGCCACCAAATGGTTAAAGATACTAAAGTATTGAACTGTGCGACAAATGAACATTGGAAGGCCGCAGGAATGCGAGTGGGTCATCATTAATTACACGGACGGACAGACGGGGCGAACGGACGTACAATCACTCGCACAGACGGTCAGTTAGACATTTGGGTTTGTTTGTGTAGTTTCGAATGGGTCGAGAGACATTATGTCGGTGGTGGCGCGTCTCTTTTTAAGTGAATAGCTGTGAAGGCTGTTGTTGACTGACTGACTGACTGACTGACCGTTGAGTGGCCGCCGATCCGGCTGCGAGTTGGTTACTTCTTTAGCTTTCAAAGTCAGACCTTTTGACTGTTGTGGCGGTTATGCACTAAAACAGAAAAAAATATACAAAAAATTTACTTTGACAGTGGTGGGCTGATTAAAAGCAACGTCTAAAAAATCATTAAAATATTCCACTAACATCGAAGATTTGAGGGGCCTAATTTTATTTGAGTTCCCAAAAATACAGCGAATCAAATCGGAAGTGTGAATTGGACACACCAACCATCGACTGATGGCAACTCTACATTGTTGAGCATAGATCTTCGACTTTGACCGCAAAGAGTCTCAGATTAATAATTTCTTGGGATATCTGTCAAAAAGGCAATCTTTGTTCATAGCCAAGCAGCACTGAAGGCAATCGGATATAAAACTGCGAAATCGGGAATTTTATAGAAATGTGGCACCACGCTGGCGTCATTCAGCTATATCAACGTCACTCTATACTTGATGCCCAGACATAGCAATATTGAAAGGAATGAATAGGCTTATAAGATAGCCAGATACGACTCAGAGATGTGAATAGGTAGAAGAAGCGGGCAGCTCCGTACTACCACCGTTCAGTGATCACGGTAGAACAGTCGGGTCTACTTAACCGCAATGAGTCAGATCTATATCTGGCCAAGGCCTGTCACTCCAGCAACATTTCTCAAAAACTCTTTGGGAAATTTTCATGCTATTACAACAACAACAACGTTAGGAAAATTGATAAATACACCGTGCCCACGATTTATGACTTGTAGAACATACAGGAAGACCTGTGAGATCTCAAAATTATAATGGCAGAGGCTTGGTAGGAAAAAGACCAGGGATTTACCTAAACTCAACAGGTCTGCAGCAAGAGTTCTTACCGGTATCATCTGTGCTATAGCACCAATGCTTCAACGATGGCGAGTACCAACAAGTACTCTACGCAGAAACTGCCGTGATGAGGATGAGGTAGAGTCAATTAGCCACTTACTGTGTCGATGTCCGGGTCTACAGTCGAAGCGCCTCAAACACTTGGCTTCTTGCGCCTTTAACAGTCTGCACGAGAAAGCGGAGGTGGGATTGTTGGATCTGCTTGGCATCATTAGGGATAGTAATTGGTTCAGCAGAATAATAACTTGAAGTGAAAGTATGGAATTCCTGAAAACTATCTAGTCAGTTGAAGTTTCAGTATATTTTCTCCTATTGGAGCGCAGTGGTATTAAAAAAATTTTATGGAGTTAGACCCATTCTCGAACTCATTCCTGATTAAATGAAATAAGAGAAGTGAGCTTTTAGGTTTGGGATGCCTAAAATATCACGGAGACCTTGGCCACAACTTTTAAGTTTATCACATAAGAGATTGCGAATCTGATATGATGTCAAGAAAAGAATAGACTCCAATGTGGTTTACTAATTTCCAGATTACTGCAATATTTTTTGTGTAGAGATCTTTGCAAAGTTGGCAAACATGATGGACCTTGTTCAATGAACAATCGCATTTTTAGGAAGGTATTTTAGAAAATATTGGTAATTCTTTACTGGAGCCCATATCATAGTGGTGTTACTTGCATTCATCACAAGATCGGCATGATTCAAGGCCATATAAAGATTAGTATTTAGCGAAATCTTCTCCTCTGGGTATACGACAACACCAAATGAACTCTTGAAAAGAGCAAAATTAACTCAGATTACACGGAAAGTGGTTTTGAAGACTATGAACCACTTAATCATTCTTATTGATAAAAGTAAAGAAAAAATCGAACTTTTCCTCTAGAACAATTTTATTTTAAAATCTTGGATAAAACCGAAAATTAAAAATTGTCATAGATTTTCATATTTAGCCACCACTGTACTCCCTCAAAGCATATGACATAACCATAGAGTCCAATGCTGGCAATGTACGTTCAAAAGCCTTTTGGATGAGTGTATTTAAGGTTTGACCGGAAACTTCTTATCGCAGTGAAAATCTTGGCTGCGTGAAGCTGCAGAGCTTCGCATTCTCAGCAAAGTTACAAAAAAATAAAAAATATCAGGTACAATTGCAGGCTCACTTTTCCACGCAGAGCACTCAGGTGCCATTCATTCATGCAATCGTTCATTTACTTATTTACATTTCTTGCTTTTGTTTTAGTGCTTTTTTTTCTACAGTGCATCATAATAAATGGTATATACATACATACCTGTGTGCATGATCGTGTGTGTGTGAATATGTAAATTCAAGTCGTCAAGTATGTATATACATATATCTTTGCATGTGTAATCAATGCTGTGTCGGTTGAGTTGAAGCTATTTAAGTAATTCAAATTATTTAAAAAAAGTATTTTCCTTGCAGTTGATTTCGTGGAAAAAAGGTCACCAAAATCAATCAAGAGATCTTTTTATTTGATTATTCCGCTTTTAGATTTTTATGTGCCAAGTGGCTCATACGACTTTGAATGTTATCGGCAGCATCTTCTTTAGCTGGGCAAATGAGATGACCCACCGCGTGCTTAACTTTGTTGCATGTAGACAAAGTGGCAGCTAAAGCGACTTGACTCGAGAGACAGGTCGACTTTTTCAGCATCGCGGCAGGTTGTATTCTAGCCTTAGTAAACAGTTTTTGTTTCTACCATCATTTTGAAAATGAGGGAAATTAAGAAGAAAAAAAGTGTTGTTGTTTTAGTGCACCGATATTTTCAAAGTTCTATATTTTTGTTTGATTTTTACCTTCTCCATATTTTTTGAATGCATGCTTTTCGAGAATTTTGGTTTGTATGTACACATGTGTGCCTGTTTGAAGGTTTATTGACTGCTAAATTTTTTGTCTTTTTCTCTTTTTCACCGCCCACACATTGCCTCCGCAGGATCTCCAGTTTATGGGTTTAGTATAAAGCATTCATTTCACTCAATTCGAAAAGCAAAACAGATAATTTATACATTTTGATTTCCTCTTGCAGATCTCTATCAGCATCCTCAACAGTATTCACGGAATCTCTTCTACACCAATAGCGGTAGTGTTGGTAATAGCAACCATAACGGCAGCGGTAGCAGTAGCAGTTTGCACGCCCATTTTCCACATTTACAGCAGCAGCAGCAACAACAACAACTGCATCAACATTCGCAGCAACATCTGCAGCAACAATCAGCGCTATCTGCGCTTTCGCAACATGTTGCCGAAAGTGCGATATGGCAACATCAACATCATCAACATGCACGTCCATCGCATTTGCAGCAATAATAGGAAATGTTGCTTGATGTTGGATGTTTGGAAGTGTGAAAAAGTTGCAGTGGGCAAATGGGCGTATGTGCATATGTGTAAACCAAATACAAACAATACAAACATACATATGCACTTGTAATTAACTGCATATAAGAAGCTTGAATCCTCATGAATCGTTTAAAAAAAATGGCTAAAGAAAGAAGAGCAAATGTATCCAATTCAAGCGAAAAACTTATTTCATTCTGAGTATTCCTAACATAATTAACAAAGTAAACAATTCAAGTGCAGTAATAGAAATTTGTAAGAAAATAAATTTTATAAATATTAAGTTTACCATTTTTAATAAAATATGCATAGAATGTGGACATACATACATATTTATTTACGTATAGACACACATACACATAAATACATAATTTTGTATATAAAATAAGTATTTATACTTTTGTTGTAAAAAAATAATGTATATTTGTAAACTGAAACAAGAAAGTATTGCTGCGAAATGTAGGACCTAAATATAGACATATGTATGTACATATAAAAGCCAAAAAAATATTGCATATAAGGACATCATCAGAAGGACCACATTGTAATGGATGGCCTATAAACTTTCATAGCTCCTACCTTAATATTATAAATCGTAAACAGATATGTATGGATCTGTACCAACATGCCTACATATTGTAGAATGGGAGGCATATAAATATGTAATTGGTGCACCCACTACCTACAAATACAAATCTTAGAATGTATTATACATATAAATGTCAAAAAAATCACCAGAAAAAGATTGTAATTAAAATTTTATTTGGATTATTTAAAGGCCCAATAGTTGAAACTATCAGTGCAATGTATTAATTTAGTTAATTCCTATTAATAAGATTATTTAGATATAAATGGCTGGCAGTTGCGAAAATTGTATTCGCAAGGACACCTTCACCTAGACTAGCTCTACCTTCCTTCAATCTGTGGTGAAAAGCGTGTCGCCGCTGCTATATCCGGCAGGTTCTGCAATTCACTTCCGAGTGAATTTCAACAAAAGTCACTTTGAATTCAAATTGAATGGGGTTGAAATTCACTCGGAAGTGAATGGCAGAACCTGTCGGATTGTCTTAATTTGCATTCCTATTCTCGAACATCTACAACTTCGGTTCAACCAATGTCCCTTTGGTGAATTTTTGTCTATTGTTCCTTAATATCGCTCAATCAAACGCTCGAAGCACTTCAGTATTGTCAAACTAAAATTGTAACCAATTTAGACTTCCTAATAGAGGTTGTTACCTACATACATATCTGAAACCGTCCTTGACAATTCCAAGCAACAGTAGTAAGATTTTCGGTTTCTTTTGATCCACAACAGTTTTGACATAACGCAAAATAAAATAAAATAAATTAATGACAATGCAAAATCTAAGCCAAGTAATTTTGTTCGAACAAAAATTATATTTATAGCTTCCGAATTCAGGCGTTGATCAGTCCAAAATAATCGGTGATGGCATCCGTTACAATTATGCTAAATAATTTTTGTCTCGCTCACAGGTCATTGGAAAGTCTTCATCCAAGACTCACAGATTAATTGAAAAGTCTGATTCGGAAATAGAAGCAGATTTTTTGGCTTAATGCCATAAACTACACGAATGTTTAGGTGTTTTCCATGGCAAGCTTTTTGCAATTTTCTTTGTATGATACATCCCAACAGTTAATTGCAGCAGTTAAAATCCCTTTCGAAGGCTTTGCTGGGAGTTAAGAGGCCTTCCACTCTACATACATTCCTTTCTACTGTCTTTTGTTTTTTTTTTTTTTTTTTTTTTTTATGAAGTGGCGCAAATTGAAGGGCTTCTGCATTCGCTACCCATAGAAGAGCTTTTGTGGGACGTACTTCAGAACTGTAAATAGGAAAAGCCCTTCTAGAAAGTATGCAGGGAAGTACCCTTTTAGCTTCTCTTAAGAAGGCCCACCTAAATTATATGCTGGAAATTTGAGGATATGCCCAATAGTATCGCCTAAAAAAGCAAATTTCCAAAGTCCTTCCTACATTGCCAGTACGATTGCAAAACTTTCTTTCAATAGCGAGGCTTTTTAAAATCAAGGGGGCATATTCATAGTCAACACTACACTTTTTGACAGATATTCCATTGAAAATTATGTCAAAAAGCTGCAACTGACCCTTTATTCTGACTATGAATATGTGCAAGATTAGATTTATATTTTAGACAGAGTTGAAATTCAATTTATTTTCAATTTGCGAGCAAAATCATTTATCAACGCATAACAGTGTAAATTGTTAAAAGTCATAAAAGTCCAGCCAAGATATACTTCATTCACTGACTTAGATTTGGGAATAAATTTATGCAGGAAGAATTTTCCAAACGAAATCTCTTTAATGCGAGCTCGGTTCTTTGCGATGGTGCTCCTGCCTTACTATTCCTATGGGTTGTTAAATAAGTTAATAAGCTGACCACTGGAGCTTCTGACTTTTCAACAATAATGTGCGTGAGCCTACCATTGATGTAGAATCAAAGGTAGAAAACGTATTTAAAAATGTTTCGTTGTTCAAACTTATTGTTATTATGCTCGTAGGTATTACTACTTTACAACTATTAAAAAGGAACCCCCAAAACTTAGATGAGACCCATCTAGAGGACAAGCTTCTTGAGTCTTTCATTTATTTCTTTTTAAGCTGCTAGTAAACATAAAGTTAGCAATAAAATAAAAAAATGTAAATTCTAAGAAATTGTATATAAAATGTTGATAAAACCTTTGTTAATATTATATAATACATACATACATATAAAATACGTATGAAAAAAATTCATCAAATATAAACTTACACAGATATCAAAATAACACATTATTTTTCTTTTAGAATGGATTGTAAGGAAATAATATACAGAGCTGTTTTTATGTACATATAGTTAGTTTAGTAAATTAAGAAAATAAAATGTATATACAGTTAGGAGGGTGTAATTTTTTTTATCACTTTTGGCAGACATGCAGCATTTGCCTAATTACGCATACAGTAGAGATTTTAAAGTTTTAATGGACACAATATAAATTCAAAGTACATACTTACATTGAATGTAATCTCGTGACTAATTTGCGCATTTATTACATACATATCTACTTGATATTTTTGTTCTCTTAATTTGGTTATATCGTACATATCGAATGCAAATAAGTAAATTTTACTAAGGGCTGCATAGGGCTAAATGCGAACCATTAGTTCAAATTTGGAAGATATCGGTCAGCTATAAGTTTTTCTGTAATCCAGCCTAGTGATACTAAATTAAAATTCTTCGTGCGCATTACTGCAGCTTTCATAAAAATTATTTACTACCATTCAACAATTTTATTGAGCTTGCGGTCGTTTGAATGAAAAATGTTAAAAAAAAAAATCATATCGAGTCAACAAAGGCCAAAGTTAGATATGTACACATTTTTGAAACTCCTTTATTACTTAGTATGATCATTGAATCATTTTCAAATTAATAAAAAAGGCGAAGGAAAATTCAGTTGAACCTGCGCGTGTGCAAAGGACATTCACCATTTTTGTTGGAATATCTTTCCCATGCATACACACCTGCATACATATATGGATTTGTAAACACCAATTGCAAGCACATCCGCCATTGCCTGATTTTAGGCGTACACATTACTGCACACGTACACATTACTGCAGTTTCACGCTAGCAGAAAGTCGTAGCCTACATTCAGGCGCTGAATGGAATGTTGCTTTGCATAGTAGGGATGAAACTAATAAGAACAAACAACGATACTCGTAAATAAAGCAAAGAATTTCTTGTGAATGTTTCCAATTCGAATATTAACAGCAGGGGTTGCATATGCAAGGCGCATTCATTTATTTGTATGTAGTTTCGAGTCTCGTTTGATCTTGAAGAGATATTCAAGATGCTCTGAATGTGTTTGTATCATGCCTTTGTTGCAAGAGTGTCATAATCAAAAAAAGAAAAGAAAAATTTGAATTATGTAAGTATGCCGCCTCTTCTTCTAGGTTGTGTAAGAACTCTATAGTTGTTTCGATTAACAAACGCCGTCGTCGATTCGCCATTTCTCTGACTTCCGCTCGCTTAACGAACAATTTTGTATGTCAAAGCAACAACATATGTAGTTAGCTAGCAGCGATGGACGCTGGCGAGTGTAGTTTATCTCACTAATATCGTTCGTTTCGCCACTCATCAAGTGTTGGCGAATCGATGGCGCCGCATAGCTGATTAGAAGTAAATGTGTAGTCATTTTTATTATGGGAGCGTATATAAAAAGTAAACTTTAAAGCCGCCTGCTCTCAGGAAGAATCACAGAAAACATTTTTCTATATTTCTGTTGTTTAATAAAGTAATTAGCCGTTTCTGTAAATTTTCTTCAAGAAATAAATATAGTATATGTATGTGTGTCCATACCAGCATTTTTTCCTTAAGATCTGCAAACAGATTTAAGGAATTTTCGTAGAAGAAAATTCCATTTTCATTTTGTGAGCATGCTTTTCTAGTATTATTTTTTTTTGTTGTTTCTTGAATGCTGGGCCCTGCTGGGTGCTTGTATCCGTTTATCTAAAATTTTAAAATTTTTTTTGTAGAATATTTAGTATAGATAAGGAAAGAAATTACGTATCAAAGAGACAGTGGTTGACATACATACATAGATGCGAAAGATGTCAAATGGCTATTTTAAAACTCTAAAGGAGAAGCAGGGTTCGTATTTGCACACACATGCTCTGCTCACACACACGCCAGAAAAACATTCAACTTGCACTCACTGCTCATACACATGTGTGTGCATAAGTGGAAAACAAACTCTACTCACAGAAAAGTGGGTGCTGTTTGTTATTAAGCACATGCACATGTGTGTGAGCCGATTTTTGTACAAATTTCAGCCCATGCACATGCACATAATGGCTGCATTTCTTTATTCATTCTGAACGTTTGGAATAAACTTCTTTGTTTACTTATTCTTTAGAACGTTCCTGATGATATGTTAACGTATATTTCAAACGCGTTCTGTTTATTCTGGCTGTGAAATCGGATTATCCGGAATGTATAAAGAAACGCAGCCAATATATTCTTAAAAGAATTTGTTTATTAAACGTTATTTTTTGAAAGACAATTCAATAAAAAGTGACATGTTGTTTGTTTTTTATATGACAGAAAACATATTAAAAAATTATTTTAAGATTTGAGTTAGAATTCGAAGTGTATAAGTTTCTCTACGCATAGCACACACATGTGCGTGTGCTTTACATTAATAAAAAGAAAGTACACACATGTGCCCGTGCTTTTTACCAAACGGCACACACATGTAATGTGAGCAAATTTTTAATTTTTTATATGCACAGCACACGTGTG